CCAAGGGAAAATCGTTGAACTCACTTTTGTGATTGAATCATCAATTCAAGCCAAACATTAATCAAATAGGAACAATTTCACTCAAAGTATACCTAGACACAGGAGAACTATTGTCGTGAAAGTGTTGACAGTCGATTACGAATTTAGATTGCAGAGATTTTGTTCTGAGCGCTAAAAGCACTCACGATAGAGCACATTTTGCTTTATTCTAACATCCACTTATCGTGATAACGTTGGGCTCCTGACTCTCATCGTAGAAAGAGCGTACTAGTGCATTGATGTAGCTACTGTTGGACATGATAGACGGTGATTGATACTGCTATTGGGGTGTATTTACAGGGGTCTGAAGCAGCTGTGAGTAGATGATAGATGATTGATCTTGGGCTTGAGATTGGCGACGACCGTTGGCCTTCGAATTGCTCTAATATATCTGCTCGGGACTCGGCAGTCCAGTCAGTCACGTTACGATTGAAAGAAGTGTTTGATAGACGTTGTCGGCACAGGAGCTAAGTACCTAGCCGCCAAAGATCCTATTTCAGGAGAGATGCAAGAACTAGGGGCGTTGAGGCACCCAAAGCTAGTTGCATTCTCATATTTCTGACAAAATCAGTGCATTTCATTATGCTCCAAAACGAAACGAGCTGGGGGGTTTCATTCCCCAGTATGAAGTCTAGGAAAGGGAACACAACAAAAATTATCAGCATCACAGGAGCCACATTGTCTCATGTGCAATGGGTATCAACAAGAGCCCCGTCATGCTTGAGATTGATTCGATTTCTGGAGCGACGTAACCTTTGCAAAGTCCAAAATTAGTCCATAAAAGCTCCAATCCAAAGATCGTTATTCCTTATGGTGAATTGGAGACGTCAGATCTCATTTGCAGCTTCAGTTTGGTGGTGAAGGCAATTTATGGCTAGAACTAGGCACTTTCGCTCGATCAGGACGAAAAACTTGGTGATGTTGAACATTTACTATGAGTTTGTGTTTATTTCGTAGTATGCGTAAATTTGGGGATAGTCCCGTTGTAACGGGGCTATCCCCCCCGATGCCCGATCGGTTAGCCTACAGTATTTTAATTCCGCTTGTACGTTTTATCATGGAAGACAAGGGGCCCAAGAGAAATCCGTTTAGTGAAGGAATCAAGGAAGCTGTGTAAGTGAGCTAAGAACATTCTGTTTTGCTTTGTTTTTAAAATCAGTTTTTGTCTTACAACATGAATCGTTTGCATTACGAAGTGCGCTGACGAACATGTGTCTTAGCAAAACAGAGCGACTAGGCAAGGATATACAAAAGCCAATCGCGCAATCTTTTGGGATTGTTGAAGATAAATCATCTAAAATGCTTGATGTTGCATTGGATGCGTATGGCAAGCGCAAAGAGTATGGATTTCAAATCATAACCTCTAGTTTTGCGGGATTTGGTGTGGTCGGATTGGTGAGGCGTGGTCGTATTGGCGGGATCATCAGCGCTTCCGTTGCTGGAGCAGCTGCTTATGGTATTGTATATGACAAATTATCCATTCAAGGTGTGGTGGACTCTGTTCTTCCGAAAACTGATTAAATCCTGTTTAACAGGAGTGCTCTTGATCCAGGGAAGTAGATGGGCTATGTATCTTTTCTCGTTGTAGTCAACCCAGTTAATTCGATTACTTTTGCTCTGGAAAATATTATTTATTACCATTTGTGAGAACTGTAAAGAAAGCTGCACGTCCCCCCTCTCGTTCTTGTCGTTTCAGGGCTTTTGAGCCGAAAATGGAAATCACGCCGCCTTCATGTTCGCAATTCATACACAAGCTCATCAAGTACCCAGTCTTGATTCGAAACTCTAATAATGTTATGTGTATGTATCGATATGACCCCAGCTTTTGGTTCAAAACTGCGACTCAACATATTTGAGTCCAACGTATTCCGAAAGACTTGCTAAGGAATATACAGTCATGGTTAGGCTACGAGTGACATCGATTGACGATTTGGGTACATTCCATAGTATTGTTGGACCGTAAAAAGCAGCCGAGTTGGGGTGCATCGGTTTGAACTTCGTGAACAGCCACGTTCAATTTCCGTCGCCTCTACCCTTACAATTCACGTCAACAAGCTCCCCAGATTCCATGTCATAGGCCAGAGGCGTCTTTGAGAGATCAAGTTTCTCGCCATCGAAATGAAGTGAAACGTTCTGGTTCTCCAGATTCTGTTGTTCTCGATACAAATCAATAATTTGCTGAAGAGGCTGCCTTGATCCAATTCGCATTTCAATCTCCTGAACATTCTTTCCAACTCGTCTCCTCAGCTTAAGATTGAGACTTGGGCCATAGTCACTTTTGGTTCGGCTGGAGTTAAGCCTGGGGACAATGTTGGCAGCAATTTCTACGTCCACCTGATCCTCGTCAACCATGTTATAAGAGGCCGGGGTTCGATGCTTCTCCAGGATCACACCATGAAAGACCACCTTAACGCGAGATGATGCCGGCAAGGAATCCGCCTCAAGAATCTTGCTCACTAATTTCTGGACTGGCTCATTCTGCTTGATTAAAAACTGGCGCTTAATAATATTTTGGCCCTTTCCATTGATTTCACGCTTAATAATACACGCAATTTGCATGTTTTCTCCAATATTCTCGACAGCCTGCTTGTCTAGCTCTTGCGTCCGGCTTGCTTTTGACACTGTAAAAGGCAAAACTGCTTCCAATTCCGTCGTATCGACATCAACGTCTTCAGCATGATACAGCTGCGCTTGCCTCAGTTGCAGCCTCGCCAGTCTCGAACGTTGAAGTAGTGGATCAGACGTCGGAATATTTGATCTTATTGTTGCGACATTTTCATCATCATCTGAGCTATCTGCCAAGTCTATGACTTTCTTACTTTCTCTCGTCGCAGCTAACACAGATATTTCATCAGGGACATCCAATATTTCGATTGAAGTATCTGCGTCAGCATTTACATTAGGATAATTCGAATCATCAATAGACTCATCACTGTCATCATTCAATGTACTGGTTTGGTCAATGCGTGCTCGGAGAGTTTTTTGCTTCTTCTCTTGCCTTTTCTCGAGTATTGACATTTGATCATCAGTAGAGGGCTTCAATCGCCTACGTTGGGCACGCGCTGGAGTGGCCAATTTATCTTGAGTTGGCGCTGTTGGAGCTGCCTTAATGAACCTTCTACGGTCATATCGGAACACGTCTTTGTCGTCATCAGAATCCCCATCCGATTCACAGGGACTTTCCATGAGTGGCTCGTCGTCAGAAGAAGATGAGTCGCTCATTGTTTGCAGCTATTGTACACACGCAACAGCAGCTTTACTGTACAGTAGCTCTCAACAGATTGCCTCTATTTTAAGTATGCCATGGACTATATTATTTTTTAAAAGTCTGGAGGTTTGAAAAACGCCAGCGTTTTGCTGGTTCGAATGTTGATCAAACGGGTTCCACCCGCATAATAAGCGGGCTCAACACTCTTTGAAAGCTTGGGAACACTCTCTAGCCACCGTCTACCTACAACGGATGGAGTAATGGATACTCTAGCCAACGATACGAAAAATGTTGACTAGCAAATGTGACTAAATCCTGATGCAATGTAAATGAAAAGTCTGCTATTTGCTGTATGTCGTATGATGAACCAGCAGGCCAGTATTCCATAGAATAGGTGACGAATATTTGAAAATCGCTGTATTTTTCATACTACCAGTACCACCATATGATGACGGCACCTTTCTGCTTGGAATACCCAAAGATTGAAGAACAGACCAATAATATTTGATTTCAAAAATAGAGTGGCTAAGCAACCCCGATCATATGACTGTAGCAGAGGTATATTTTGTCCGTTTTGGTACGTTTTTGACAGGAGCTACAGTAGTTGATCATGCATCATCATAGTGCGTGTCATCATTGGTGGTTCCATCAGCAACACTTTGATTGTGAGCCTCCAACAATTGGTCAGCCATCATATTGCCCCTTCCCATCCCTTGCGTGCAACGGCACAGTGTCATCATAGAAGGAAGGTGATGATTGCACTTTTGAAAGTATCTTTCCTACAAGAGATCATTGACCTCACAGGCCCATTCTCCAAAAAGGACATGATGTCTATTTGCCGTGACAACTTACAAATTGGAAAAGAAAGTCAGTTGATATTTAGGGGACCATGCCCTAAAATCAGGGGGTAGTCTCTTTTTGGGGATGACTCAGCTGAAAAAAAGAGATGGACACATAAAGTTGTCATCAAGAACCCAACACGACAGTGAAAAACTACCATCATTGTCCATCTGTTGTCAGGATGCTGGGACGCACCACAACGTCAAGCGCACGCCCGAAATTTGTCCGTTTAGATTGTTTTGAGAATTTTTTTAAACAAGCAATGTTAGAATAAAGCAAAATGTGCTCTATCGTGAGTGCCTTTAGCGCTCAGAACAAACTCTCTGCAATCTAAATTCGTAATTGACTGTACAACACTTTCACAACAACATTTCTCCTGTGTTAGGTATACTTTGAGTAAAATTGTTCCTATTTGATTAATGTTTGGCTTGAATTGATGATTCAATCACAAAAGTGAGTTCAACAATTTTCCCCTGGAAAATCCCTTGTTTACAGAACTCGATTCGGCTTCTACAAGGATTCTGTGTTGAATACAGTACTTTGGGACATCTTGTATTATTCCCTACTGTATCGTACACAACAACGATATTCCACTTGTATTGGGTCTTTCCCTTTTCATGTGATATTCCCTTAAAGCGCACTTTTGCCGGACATTGTGTCCACCTGGAAAGGGGGAGGTCGTCTCCCTCAAAAGAAATATGTGAAGATTTCACCAAGTCCATTTGTATGCATAAGTCGACAGCTAGATCGCACTGTAGCTATATAAAGCTTTGAAGGCGAACTAAAAGAACTTTAAACTCCTGATAAAATGTGACTGCATGCATACTATTATAGGACAACCCACTCATCCCTCCTATTGACAAGCAGTCATAAGAAATAAAGAGGATGTTCTTGTAACTAGTATCTATTTGCATGCTGTAGTGAAGGACATTGAGCTCAGAACATCACCTTTTGTGGCTGAGTCATTGGCCCAGAGTAATAGATCGCCCCCTCTGAAATTTTCCTTCAATATCCACTGGCTTTTGCTGGTGTAATGTTGAATTGGCAAATTGCCGGACATTGTCCAACCATTCGAAATCACATTAGTCAAATCGTTCTCGAATCGTATTTTTCTCATCAAAATTTACGATGTCAAATGGGAACATGGCATGACATGCGCGCATTGTTCGTCACCAGGGACAAAAAAAGATTGTTTTGCCGTGTAAAAGCAGGACCAAAAATAGTTTCATCTTGGTGAAGAAAACTTTCACTGGAATTGCGAATAATACACAAATATATATTGAAATAGACAATAAAAATAAAAATCACAGACATCAAATCAAAACAGTGATGTTCGATTCAGCAATAATATGAATATTATGGTAAGTCGTATACAACATGAAGCTGAAACAGTTATTTATAATCATCTCTACAACCACAAGTAACTTGTTCTTGATCCGTTGGCTCGCCAGCACAAAGCAGGTGAACAATTGTTTGACAATGAACACACCTATGAATTGGTCGCAATTCTTGATGTGGATGGTCGCAACCCCCACGAATACCACAGGGGCCAATTGGGAAGCCATTTGCAGAAAGATTGAGATGAAGTGCTGTGCCATCTGTAAGGGCAACTGGTTGCTCTTCTTGAGGCTCGCCTCTAGCCGCCCTCACTTGAGCCGCCTCTCTTCGCATCACTGCATTGAGCCCTTCCTCGCCATCCTTGCCTTCTTCGCGATCTCTTTGACGGTTGACAGCGTCCACTGACGTTGGACCTTCAATACTTGCAAATGCTGCTGCAAAAGCTTCACTGTCATCGTCATTTGGTGTATTGTATATTGTTGCATTTCTTGTTCGTCGCCGTTTTCTTGCTGAATTGTTGTGTCTATCATTTGAACGAGTTCTTGGTGTTTTCTGGTTACAGTCGCGGGTACTTATTGTCCTAGAATTCCCATTTCTGTGGCTTGTTCTTTTGGATTTTTCCTCTTCTCTGCTTGCAGCGGCAGGTTGGTTCCTCCTCCAATAAACGTTTCTTCTTATCTGCCTTGTCTCTGCAGTAACAACAGTGGGTGTTGTTGTCATCTCCGTATTTCTTGTTGTCGCAGGATTTCTTCTAGCTTCTTCATTTTCTTCAATTTCTTCATCTTGGTTCACCGATGGCTCTGTTGGATTTGCTTCATTTGTTTCTCGTGCTTGTTGTGCCAGCTTTCTGGATTCACGTACTTTTTTTAGTGTCGTGGCCCATCGGACCGATCGCTTTCCATCAGGAAGCTTCAAACAATTTTCTCCTGTTGCAATTTTAAGGAAAATATCATCAGCTTCCTCGATTGTCAAGTTTGCAGTCTCAAGTCCCTTGTTTGCTGCCTGCGTTTCAATATATTTACATAGGGTCTTAATATCATTGAATTTCCGTCGAGGCGTCCGCTTTACTTTCCCTGCCATAAATCCAAAGTCAGCACCTTTGAGAAATTTCAGTGGTGGAATCTTGTTCACTGTATCTTCTGTGCTCCAAGCATTCCAAAGACTCTGAGCTGTTCCTTGTGGCCATTCGTACTCTTCTGGTAGGTACCAAGTTGAACCGTCTTTGTGCGTATGAATATGATGAGCGGTTGAGACATCATTGTTTGTTTGACCCAATCTTAAGCCTCGCTAATTGTTTGTTGCTAGGAGGTTAATGTTTCCTCTCTTGTAAAGCTGTTGTAGGAAATCCGCATAGGAAGCCTCTTGGGAATCTGTAACAATTCTTCGTATCCGTTCTTCACTTATGCTTGCATTTGCAACGTTCCTGTCGTTGAAAAGGTCATTCATTGTGTCCTTTAACTTTTGCTGCCATCCTGATTTGAAATCTTCTGCAAATTTAACAAGGCGCTCAATGTAAACCGTCTGACAAACATGTGGTGGGATGCCAGATAGAGACCGAACGTCTGCTGCATTGTCCTCCCAAGGATATATGACTCTGGCCTTCTGCTTGAGACGTTCCACCACTGTTTGGTCGCGGAAAAAATTGCTCTGTCGAATGATATTGCCCATTGGTCATTGCAGAACGTGGTCTTTGTTATGGGCCATGGCTGCCAGGCAACGATGCAAAATTGGCTTCATTTGGTTGTGTTCTGCCAAGCCTGGGAACACTCTTGTTATGTGCCGGTCCAGTTCTTCAGTAGATAAGTCCGTGAACTCAGGTGCACTGACAGCAAATTCGCTTTTCAGTAGTGGCAGAAGAGAAAGCATTCGACCAACAAACGCGTCTCCTTCTGCCTCGTATGTCATGTAGACGTCCTTGACACCACCCAACGACCATCCTCCTCGGATACAGATTGAGATCGAGGATGGACCACCAGGCTGCCCACTAAGCCACTTTGTGGCTCCCTTTCTAATGCTGTGAGAGCCAATCTCTGTGTAGCTCACGTATCCCATGTACAGCAGTTCGGATTCGTGTTCTTTTAGGACATTAGATAGCCCATCCATGAAATGTTTGTACTGAGAATTCCCTTGAAACAGTTTCCCATTCATCTCCGAGCGCCCGTCCCTAAGGCCTAAGTACAGTGCAAGGGCAAATATTGGGCACACTTCTGGCTGCTGCGGATTTGCATATAGCCGTCTTGGGAAACGCTGCTTTTCTCCGGTGGTATCATTTTTTTGCTGACAGAATAACAGCTCCAAGTGGTCAGCCTGCCATTGCATATGTTCGAACAAAATTGTCACTGTGTTGTTGGCCCTGCACATTAAGTTCCATGTAAGAACCAAAAAACAGTGGCAAAAGATACTCCTATCATCTCCCTTCTCCAATAGCCACTGGCAGCATTTCACATATAGCTTGTACGACATAGGCAGCTTTCCGTCGCTATCATGTCCACCTTCATTTTGGGCCGCATTTGCAATGAGCCTGTAAAGGCCTTTTATCTTCACAGATCACTCTTGCTTGAACTGACCAGGCATTCCCATTGCGTCATGGCACCTAAATAGATGGTACAGCGCGGAGCACTTAACGCCAAGGGATGTCTTCCCGAGGAGTTTTCCCTTGCTTGTCCTGAACGTTTGCAGGAATGCCATCCAAGCATCTACAGAGCAGTTGTCCACAACCAGCATGGGTTGATTACCACACTTGGTAAGTGCATTTGCTAGCCATTGGTCTCGGACCTTGGCCTTCTGCACCCTTCCACTTGTAGATTCAACCTCATTCTTCATGGCTTTGAACGATGCTTTAGTCGCATCTGTGAACCACCCATTAAGAAATGCAGGTTCATCCTTGCAACCTTCCTCAAGCATCATGATGATTTGGTATCCATAGCCCTTCCCAGTGCTTTGAGAGACTATGGCGGCTTTGATTTCTTCTTCAGAAAGAAGGTTTGGGCGTGGATTCGCATGTTGTTGTAGCTTGACAAGATTTTGGGTGCAATGTGGTGAAAATAGGTGGACGATGCCTGAGGACCCAAGCAATTGGACTATAAAAAAACCCAATAGTTCTATTCTGATTTTCCTTATTCCAATGAAGGTGGACACAAGTCCGGCAAAAGTTGTCTAATTTTGCATTTTACAAGTGCCTACCTACTATTGCATGTATCCCTAGTACATTTTGGTGGTGATTTGGGCCCCAAAAATCCTGAAGTGATCCGAAAAGTTGGACGATTGTCCGCCCATTTACTTAAGGAGTCCTGCAAAACGTCCGCCATTTGTCTGAGAATCCAAAAAAACAAACAATTAAAAACCACACGCAAATCCGGGTTCCAAAACAGCACCTCTAGTACTTCTCCTACACAGAGCGGCCGTAGCGACGCCGAAAAAGAGGTTGTTTTCAACTGGAAAACAAAGGACCAAGATGGGC